AATTCATAATGTCCGTACCTTGTTCGAAAGACAGTCTTTTAAATGTCCCCTGTCTTGACTTTCAACTGGTGGTATCCAGATCTAAGGTCAATTTTGGAGAACACTTGGGCACCCTGTAACTAGTCAAATAAATCATCAATACGAGGCAATGGATATTTATTTTTCACTGTTACCTTGTTCAGTTCACGGTAGTCAATGCAGAGTCTCAATGAGCCGTCTTTCTTTTTCACAAATAAGACTGGTGTGCCCCATGGCGAAGTACTAGGCCTGATGAACTTCTTATCTAACAGTTCTTGCAGCTGAACTTTCAACTCTTTCAATTCAGTCGGTGCCATTCTGTAAGGAGCTTTAGATACTATCTGTGTACCCGGAATCACATCAATGGTGAACTCAATCTCCCTATCAATCAAATCCCCTGGCAAATCATCTGGAAAAATATCTGGGAATTCTCTGACTATAGGAACACAGTTCACATCAGTTTTAGCATCGGTAGGTACAGTCAATACACAACATAGATACCCTTTACACCCCTTTTTAATCAGTTTAAAAGCTTTCATGGATGAAATCAGATACGGGGGAAGTACTACTCCAACTCCGTTAAATACAAATTCAGGCAGTCCAGGTGGACGGAAAACAACTTGTTTTGTTACACAGTCTATGGTAGCATGATATTTCGTTAACCAGTCCATTCCCAATATCACATCAAAGTGATCAATATTCAAAGGCAGTAAATCAATATACAAATGAACATCCCCAACAATAATTTCACATGCAGGGTATATATAAGCACAAGTCATAGAGCCTCAAACAGGTGAGGAGACAACTAACAGATAGTTCATAGGTTCCAGTGGTCTATTTAATTTTCGCGAAAAGACATGCGATACATATGAATGTGTAGACCCCGAATCAATCAGAACATAAGCATTTTGAGCTCAAATTGAGAGTATACCTGACACAACAGTCTCGGTATTCTGTACATCTCCCGGTACGAGTCCAAACACTCGGCCCTACCTCATAGGCTCCTTTCCGGTAGCTTTCAGATTTGGTTTCGGTGCAACAGTTGATGCTGCGGCGCTGGCTGCAGCTTTACTATTGCCCTGAGGAGCAGAAGGGAAATCTTTGACCATGTGGCCCACCTTGCCACACCTGTAACAAGCACCTGAAATTTTATAACAAACCCCTTTATGCCTCTTACCACATTCAGAACAGGGCGGTATAGAACTATTTCCCTGGCTGGAACTGGTTGTTGACCTCGTATTTTGCTTTTTGTTCAATGGGTTGTTCCGGCCTTTCTTAAATTTAAAACCCCGTCTCTTACCGTGCCATTCAGTCGCTGATGTTTCAGTCTGTTTTAATGCCTCGATGTTCGACTCTTCCATTATTGCTCAATCAAGAACATCCACGTATTTCAGTAATTTCATAACATTGATTCTGTCAAGTATTTCAACATTAAGGCCGCTTTCAAACTTCCTGGCCTTTTTGTAATCAGTATCAACCATGTGTGGTGCATATCTGGCGAGTTCAATGAATTCAGATTCATACTCTGCTACCGACATGGTGCCTTGTTTCAGTTGTTCAAACTCAGTCACTTTGCGGTCCCTGACACACTGAGGAAAATATTTCTCAAAGAAGGCTCCCTTAAACTAAGCCCAAGTCATAACAGTGTCGGTGTCACGAACAAGCATCCACCACCTTCTGGCCTCCTCTTGCAAACTAAAAGTGGCCAATAGGACCTTGTGTGCTTCAGAACATGGAAACACTTCAAATAATTTCTCTGTTTCAAGAACCCAGGCTTCGGCCTTTAATGGTTCAAGGCCTCCTTGGAATGATGGCCGTTTCATTTTACTAAACTTCTGTGTTAGAGCAATTATGTCATCATTCACATTCGGTTCCGGCCGTACTGGAGGAGTTGGGGGCTATTGGTTCTGTTGTTGCCTTAAGGCCTCAGTCAGCAGTTCAACTGTTCTTTCTAATCTCGCTATTCTGGCGTCAGATGATTCAGTTTCATCCGTAGTCCTTACATTGTCCATTTCACTATATGCAATTATGGCAATAATAAACATAGGCAGTTGCATACTTTAAACATATTAACACATTAGCACATATAATCATATCATGGCCACACACACTTTTCGTGCTCATGCAATGCCCTATTTACTTTTCTAGGACATCCTATAGCTCATTTGGACACGTGTGTGCGGTATAACTCGTGGTTTAATATCACTCTGATACCACTCTATCACGACCCAAACCCGTCCCTATGGGTTTAGCACCGTAACCGACCAGTAATCCGTGATTACCGAAGGCCTGCTCAACAGTAAAAACAGTAATACAGAGCATAGGGGCTGGCGGAAGCCAAAACAGTAATAAAAGATGTCCAATGAGCTATAACATTCTGTATGCAAAAAGACATTTCATAACATATTCACATTCGAAACAAAAGCAGTATGTACATACATCATATACAGGCATTCAGGTTAGGGACCAAATCCTTACCATAACAGTACAGTACAAGTCTATACAGTATTACAAAACAAAGATAGAAGGGTGGACTGAGGCACCCCAAAACGAGCCTAAGCTTGAACACACTTGGAACCTCGCAGTGAGGCACGTTGGTTGGCTTGACAAAAAAGGAGTTTAACCCAACGCTCCTAGCTCCGATCTGGTGCCTAGACACCTATATATATATATATATAAACGGTAAGTTAAAGCCCAGTGAATAACATATGCGTAAAGAGTTTAGGAATGAATGTCCTTTCAGTATTTAAAGCAGTCATTTGAACAGTATATCAGTTATTCAATCATAGTAGTCATAAGTGGTACATCCAATAGCAAAACAGTACAGTAGGTCTTAACAAACCGAACAATCAGTTGATGGCCATCATATCAGTAAACAGTAGTGGTTCCAAACGTGAGAACCGACAGAGATCTCTGTGACAGTAGCAGTATAGTATAGTAACAGTAAATTGCTATGGATGCCACGAATATAGTTCGCAAATAGGACAAGCATTCATTCAGTAAGAAATATCATTTCAGAAAGCAGTACAGTTGATCATTCAGAAAATATTCATGATTGAATATATCTTTACAACATTGTTACTCACAAAGTACTGGGCTACAGATAGGCTAGTGCGCATCCTCGGATGCCAACCCTACAGTTATAGAGTGAACACACACTAAGTTATTCACTTGGGTTTAATAACTTAACCCCTAACTTGACTCAGTGTGATTCTACATCGATATCCTCCTTAAGATGCCTAAAACATGCCCTAGGATTGCCTAGGATGGAAAGAGGATGCAAAGATGCACTTTAAAACACTTTTCAAAATTTGCTGAAACAAGGGTACACGCTCGAACGGACATACAGATAAAGAAGCTCCGCTCGAGCATGGCTTTCCTCACTCAAGTGTACTACAAACTTAGGAAAAAGTACTGGATGCATGCAATTCACGCTCGATGGGCGCTCGACCTTCACTAGAGCGTGAGACACAAGTCCTCACTCGAGCGGACTGTAAACATATGAAAAGTACTGGATACACGCATTTCACGCTCAAGCGTTACTTTCCCCGCTCAAGCAGGATGCATGTACTCAGAGTGTACGCTCGAGTGTGGGTCCAAATTCTGAAATTTCTAGATTGAACCTTTAAGCTCAAAATCAACTTTTAAAGCATCAAATCCGATCCTTTTGGGCTAATTTTTTGGAAAACATTTAAAACCCATAATACAACATGTTTCAAAGATCAATTTGCAAAATCAAAGCCCAAAGGTAGTTCAATTAAACACAATTTCAACAATAACTCCAAGAACATAAAGTGAATGAACATGCAAGTGTTCAATTGAAATCAAAGCTTCCAATACATGGTCAAATGAGTCGATTCACTCAAAAACATGATGAATTCATGAACTATAATCAAAATATGGACATGCATGTAGCAATTTTCATGAAAACAACCTCAAAATGCTAGAACATGGATATGCATGCATGATTTAAGCTTCAATTCAACATTTTGAACCAATTCTAGACTCTAATCTCCAAACTTCCATGAAACATGCAAGAAACAACTTAAATACAAGTTCAAGAAGATGATTCTCCTACCTTAGGTCCTCAATTTTAAGAATGGAAGCTCAATTATGCAATTATCCTTCAAATCTTCTAAGTTTCAAGCCAATTTGATGAACTCAAGCTCCTCTTCCAGCTCTCTAGCTCTCTCTCACGTTTTTGGTCTCTAGAGGAAATGAAGATGATGCATGTGATATGAAACTAGGCTCTAAACAATGTGTAACAAAGTGGCCCACTAAAATGGTAGTTTGGTAATTAACCTAGGTTCAAGAATTTAACATTATTTAATCTAATTTAATCATACCAAATCAAATTTCAATTAAACATACCATAAAATCACATAAATTCTAATTAACATGAAACACTAATCAATTTCAGATTCGGCCGCCGATAAGGCCTTCAATTTACAGTTCAAACTTAAAACATGAACAGATCAATTAACAGTCAAACAGATAGTAATGCGTTTAAACTAATATACTCAATCGATCAGTTCAGAATTTCAGTCAATTCAGTTACTTATCATGTTCAGTCACAATTTAACAGTAATCAGTGGTGAGGGTTGTCACAGTTTTCCATCTTGTCTTTGATAAGGAACTAGGGGATAATACATCTGCTTCAGTATCTCCAGAACAGAGCTTACCTTCTCAAGACCATGCTCGCGGCAAGTTGTGAAAAGTAGTTTAGAGATGAGATAGTTATAACTGTCATAACTATCCTACACGTGTTAAGCAATCAATTTGCAGTTAGTTAGAGTTAATATTGTAAACTCTCTTTAGTTAGTCTAACCAGAGTATGGTTAATAGTTGTAACAAACTCTTATAAAGAGCTCCATTGTATTCTTGAATATTCAATCTGAATAATATTGAAACTTTCTTTATGGTATCAGAGCTTTGTGCTCCAACGAGCTTACAGATCCTTCAATGGCTTCCATGCCATTTTCTTCATTTCGACTTCCTTCAAATCTATCATTTTTAATTTTGAATCTCAATTCCTTTGTTACTGTCAAACTAGATATCAATAATTTCATAGTTTGGAATAATCAGTGGCATAATATATTGCGAGCAACAAGCTTGATTTCTTACATTGATGGATCCATTGCTCCACCTTTAGATTTCATCAAAGATGTTGCTGGTATAGATGTTCTTAATCCAAATCTCAATCAATGGCAGATCATAGATGCTCATCTGTTAAGTTGTGTTACAGTAACTCTTTCTCCATCAATCTTCACCTCTGTGTGTCAGTACAAGACCAGTCATGAAGTATGGAGTACACTTGAGAAGCGGTTTATTTCTCTTTCATAATCTCATATTCATCAACTTAAGAACAAGCTTCATAGTATTGTCAAAGCTTCAAATTCAATGGAAGATTACCTGTTACAGATCAAAGCGATTGCAGATCAGTTATCTCTTGCTGGCTCTGCAATAGATGATAAAGATCTTGTTCTCTTGACTTTTAATGGACTTCTATCGGAATATAATGCTTTTAAAACTACAATTCGTGCTAAAACTAACTCTGTTTCCACGAAAGTTCTGTCATCTCTTTTGTGTTCAGAGGCCATTCATATTGAAAATGCTACCAAAGTTTCATCTGATCTTCATGTTGTCTATGCTACATCATCTGTTTCACAACCTCACATTAAGTCATCTTCTCATAATTCATCATCTGGTTCTCGAGGATATAATCGAGGAAATCATTGAGGTTCTTATAGAGGTGGTCGATCATTTTTCAGAAAGGGAACAGAGGAGGTTTATTTGGATATGGTACTGTGACTTGCCAGATTTGTGGAAAAAGCAATGATACTACTCTCAATTGTTGGTATCACATGGATTCATCTTATTAACCTATTCATTCTAAACCTTCAAATGCTCCTTTTGAGTTTCAGAACAAGGCTTATGTTGCATCTGCAGCAAATCCTTCTGATAATTGGTTTCTAGATTCTACTGCTACAAGTCATGTTACTCATGATCTTTAGAATCTTAGTCTTTATTAACCTTATCAGAGCCATGAGTAAATGCTGGTTAGTGATGGAAATTTACTTCCTATTCATCATAAGGGTAAAGGAATTCTCTCTACACCATCTCATTCCTTCACCCTTAATAATCTCCTTCATGTTCCTCAAATCTCCTCAAATTTAATTTATGTTCATCAGCTTATTTCTGACAACAATTGCATTGTTACATTTGATGATGATACTTTTGTGATTCAGGACAAGACTAGTAAAGTTGTCTTGTACAAAGGATCTCTCTCTCAAGGTATGTATCAATTTCCTAGTTTAAATCCTCTCATCTCTCTTCATCAAGCTTGTGTTACCACTACTAGTTCTACTGAGGATTGGCATTCTTGATTAGGCCATCCATCCTTACATAAGCTCTAAGTACTTTGTAATAAATGTCATTCGTCTAAACCTCTCAATAAATCCTCTCAAATGTGTAAGCATTGTTCTATTGCTAAGAGCCATGGACTTCCATTCCGTCTTTCTACTACATTTGTAAATTAACCTCTTGCTCTTATTCACAATGATGTATAGAGACCTTTCACTTCTGATTCTTCTTCTACTAGTCACAAATATTATGTGTTGTTTATGGATGATTTTAGCATATTCACTTGGTTGTTTCCTTTGCATTATAAAAGTGAAGTGTTTTCCAAATTCATTGCCTTCAAACAATTTGTGGAAAAACAATTTGATGTAAATCTCAAAATTTTAAGAACTGATAATGGATCTGAATTTCTTAGTAATGAGTTTCAGATTTTTCTAAGGACTCATCGTATTGATCATCAACTAAGTTGTCCTTATACTCCACCACAAAATGGTGTTGCAGAGCGAAAACACAGCATATGCTTTTTCTGATTCCGATTGGGCTGTATCTGTTGTTAATTATCACTCCACTACAGGTTATTGTGTCTTTCTTAGCCCCAATCTTATTTCCTGGTCGGCTAAGAAGCAACCTACTATCTCTCGCTCTTATACCAAAGTCGAGTATCGTTCTTTAGCTCGAGTTGCAACCGAGCTTTGTTGGATTCAAATGATTTTAACTGATCTTCATGTTTTTACATCCTGTCCTATTTTATGGTGCAATAATCTCTCTGCCATCTCCTTATCCTCTAACCCTGTCTTTCATGCCCGTTCTAAACATATTGATGTGGATTATCATTTTATTCGTGAATGGGTTGCTTCCAAACAAGTTCCAAGCCACATTACCTCTTCGATCATTGGCAGATGTTTTCACTAACCTTGTCTGTCTCTCGGTTCCAGCTTCTTCATAGCAAGCTCATGATTCTTTCCCCTCACCTAAGCTTGAGGGGCTTGATAAGGAACCAAGTGATGATGCATCTGCTTCAGTATCTCCAGAATAGAGCTTACCTTCTCAAGACCATGCTTACAGCAAGTTGTGCAAAGTAGTTCAGGGATGAGATAGTTATAACTGTCATAACTATCCTACACGTGTTAAGAAATCAAGTTGTTGTTAGTTAGAGTTAATATTGTAAACTCTCTTTAGTTAGTCTAACTAGAGTGTGGTTAACAGTTGTAACAAACTCTTCTAAGGAGCTCCATTGTATTCTTGAATAATCAATCTGAATAATATAGAAACTTTCTTTAGTCTCATTTACACATTTCGCTTTCTAAATGTGACTCTTCATCTCGACATAATCCACATAACACTAGACTCATGCATAAGTCAACAAATTCCAAATAATTGAGTTACCAGAATTAACTCACCAGCAATGTATTCCACCTTACACACTTCAACTTTTACATCTAATAATTTTCACAATCACATAATAGAATTATCACAAGATTCACAACAAATATCCACAGGCCAATAACCGGCTTCACCAAGCAATACCAACATAGTTTACCGGGCGCTACTTTGGAAGGAACGCTAGAATCTTTGACAAGCGCCATGCTTTACCGATGGCTAGTCGGAAAGAATGCAAAACCTCCATATAGCCCAACAATCCACACGCTTTATCGGGCGCTACTTCGGAAGGAAGGCAGAACCTCTTTCAAGTGCCACGCTTTACCCGTCATATGCTGGAAGGAAACGTCTTTCCAAACTTTATTCCACAATTCATCATTTCAATTGAAAAATAAATTATGTCCACAACACATAACAATAAAAGTAAAATCTATCTTTATGCAGGAACATAATTTGTTCTCTACAATATTCCCATTTAACTCCATACACATTACATATTTATTACACTCATTTCTCATTATCCATTTACTATAGATGAACCCATTGCTCAATAATCATTCTCACCACATTTAATAATCAATGTTTAGACCCAATTCAACCAAACCTTAACTCAATTTCAAGAATTTAAGGTTAATTGAAGAAAACCCCGTATTTAATTAAAATTTTAAAACTAGGGTTTGAGCAAAAGTTGTGGCTTTTCATTTTAAAGGGTGTAATCATATTTCAATAGCTCAAAACTCCCATAATCAACTTAAAATCATAGGTGATCTCTTTTGAGTTAGAAACCCTAATATTTCTCTACATGTCTTTTAAGAAAATCTCTTTCAACTTAAGATTTATGCAATAAAAACACACCACCCATCTATCTATATGAAAATATTGAAGAAAAGCAAAGAAGTCCCTACATCTAGTAAGGAGAGGAAGAAACCAAGAAGACTAACTTTAACAAAAACACGATCCACTCAGATTAATAGAATGCCCTCATTTATGCTCACCATTTTTATACAAGGAACTAGGGTGAGATTCTCACTCTAAGGAGATGAAATCTAGGGTTTAATGAGCTTGGAGCTCAACAATGGCTGAAAGAGAGGGAGAGGAGAGAGAAAATTCTAGAAAGAATGAAGAAAAGTGATCCAAAAATGACTTTTTAAAGTGTTGATCCCAAATAGACCGCTCGAGCAATGTAATGATGCAACTTCTTAGAAGTTTTGCAGGTCTACAATGAAAATATTGGGAGCCTCGCATCCCCGCTTGAGCAACCATTTGACCGTGCGAACGGTTACCCTAGACACAACTAGTCACACAACACAGTTTTTAAGGCACTCTCCGCACATCAACCTTATTTCCATTTGTAACCATTAAGTAAATATTTTCATTTAGCCTCTTACATTTATGTTTTATTTACTTAAGTTTACAATGTAAATAAGGAAATACCCCCTATTTGGATTTAAAGAAAAAGCAAAAAAAGAAAAGAAAATCAAAATCAAATTAAATCAAAAAGTGACTCCTCCAGTTTTAGTACAAAACAAATTTTCTAACTGAAATTTATAAGTTTGACGTCGAAGTAAAGTAATTAATACCTCGTAGAAAAACTCCATAAAATCAAATTAGACTATTTAATGTATAAGGAACAATTACTGCTAAATATTATTTTCAAAATTGTATGTTTTGAAAAATCCAATTGTTACACTTAGAAAATTTTTAGACTAAGTCCAATTTTTGACAAAAAACTTGAATCTTAACGTGAACCATTACACCCTCTTAGAAAGTTTTGTCTCCGAAATTAAATACATACGCAACTCGGAAAGAGAAAGTATCAACGAACTAGACCTACAACTAGAAGCCTAAATCCACCCCTGAACTAACTTCCCATATTTTCAAACCAACACCACAGTACCTTATTGACTCTGAGTGAAAAGATCAACAGGTTGAAAAAGTTGAGCGGTTTCTTACTCGTCAAATATAACAGATAAATCAAAGACTAAACACATGGAATTTCCCCACATCACCCAACTTAGGAACTGCAATACTAACAAAGGTTACAAGCACCCCCACGAATTAGATAGCTCACCAAGATTCACAAAACTGAAACCCATTAGAAAAGCATCTAAATTCATAGGACACGTTGCCTCCACTTCAACGATATACCCAACGTCTAATAACCACCAAACTATTATTACTTCTGAATTCAAGAACAATCACACACTACAAGTTAGAAGCTCTCAAAAAGAAATAGAGTTCACTAAGGAAACCCCAGTTCAACGGCTTTAACTACACCAACCCACTCAAAACAAAACATAAATACTCTTGATAATTAACATCTCAAACTCAATACTAGCCCACAATCACTACCAACTCTCATTCAATTCTCCCACTAGAATGAAACACCCACAAATTGTACTATGATACAACACATTGGAACCATAGTAACCCGTCAAGGCAATACATTCAATTATCCATCATCAATCCGTGTTCGATCCATTACACACGCCAACTTGAAACAATTAGAGAAGTAATTTTACCATAAAATTTATCATCATTTTGATAACACTTTTTTGAGTATAGAGAAATATTATAAATAGGAATAAATAAATAAATAACATAACATAATATAAAATGTTCCAACTCACACCGCAGTAAAACAAAATTTTCGAACTCAACAAAATTTTCAAGAACCAACAACAGTGATTCAATTCCAATGTCAAGCAAGGCCACGATATTAAAATTAAGTTTCCATATCCCCCCTTTTGACATCACCCCTAGTGTCCACCAACCATCACTCAAGATCACCATTCACAAACAGGGTGATTTCACCAATTAATTTTAACATTTATCGAAACAACAATTCATATAAACAACAATCATCTTAAGAGACAACAATACACATGCATGCTTATAAATCTTTGGCTCATTATCATCTCTCATTTTCAAAATTTCATCTTCTACCAAGTCTAAAAATTTCCATACATACTCACACTAAATACTACACTCACCCAATC